TGCACTGCAAGCATTCTTTACATTTTGCTTTCCAAACCTTGGTAAGGTGAAACAAACATGAAAAAACTCTTCATAAAGAAATAAAACATAATTTTTTTCTCAAAAAAAACATTTGCGCCATGACGCTCAGGTTGCCTTGGGAAGGCTGAGTGGACGAAAGCTGCTATTTTTAATTAGCTGGCTGCTTTTACAGGAAGGAAAAGGAGATGTTTACATGCTTTACTTTTCTGACATGTGTTTCTCTGCATTTTGGGGAGGGCAAGAAGAAGCTTAGAGAGTGTTAGAAGGACCCAAGAGGAGCAGTCTTAATAGAGCAGTTATAGCTTCATTTTACCCATCAAATGGTGCCAGCCTAGGTTATATCTGTTGGATCTGAATTCCTTGGCTAGGAATCTAACATTTAATTTCTTTAATCTCTCCCATGACAGGGTAATGATGTTACCAAACCCTTTCAAACCTTGTGAACTACTCACAACAATATTATTAGCGTTATTACTTTTACTCTTCCTTACAAAAAAAATGGGTGATTTGGGAGTCCAGGCATGAAAGTCAAAGTGTCAGAGGTACTCAGGGGTACTGCTATCTCTTTCCTTCTGCAGGCTCAACAGCCACTCCTCGAGCTGAATAGAAGACTGGGTTTTGTATTCCCAGACTGAAAACTTTCAGTGGTGCTAATTAAATAGTGTGCATGGCTCCAGGTTACAGCAAGTCACATATCACTCATGGTCTGGTCTTGGGGGTTGTTTTTATTGTTTAGCTGTTTGAAATTCTGTGCGTGTAAGACAGATGTAACAATTTTTGGAAGGCCCTTCTGCATCAGCAGTCGTACTTACCACTTTACCTCCTCAAGGAAGCAATGCCCTGTCTCGTTATGTCCTTGTGCAAAATCAGAGCAAAAAGGCAAAATTACTTTTGTGAAATTGCGCCACAGAACAAGGAGAGAACACAATCCCGCCTCCCTCCCAGCAGCTTCCCACTTGCCCTGTCTTCTGGACCAACTTGAGGACAAGTTGGGTGACTACACTCCTGCTGAAGTGCGTTTGTTTGTGTTGTCTTGTCAGGAATTTAATTTCCCAACATCCCATGCTACCAGCACAAGCGTGTCATTGCAATTTAACAAGCATTTTGTTGGTGTGTTCTATATCTCATTAAAGTCTCATCTCCTTAGCCAATACCACATGCTACTCATCTGTAGCAAAGCTCTTAAATGTAATGAAAAAGGTATAATCACAATTGAGGAAGCAACCGTTGACCAGCAACCTACAGATACCCCGATGCCTGGAAGAAACAACGCTGCAAGAACAACCCTTTTAAAAGTTCTGGCATCACTGTGTGACAGGAAAATAGTGTTGGGAGTGGAGGTGCTCCTCAGTCATTCCTGAGCTGCTCGGTGCCATTACAGGATTCTCAGATCACCAGACAATGCTGTGTCAAAGCACAGGGCAAAAACCAGTTTAATTTTTTTCAACTGAAAAGGAAGTTACGCCATACTGGACAACTTCTGTTTTCAAAAATACTAATTAAGATATTCTGAAGACGTTTTGAGAATATTAAGCCACCATCTTAAACTTGTTGTTGATGGGGTTTTTTTCTCCCGGATTTTTATTGCTTTTGAGTCACAATAGGAATTTTAACTTTTTTTTTTCTTACCGTAGGTAAATGCATGGATGTTTTTTTAAAGCGTGATACCTTTAAAGAAATAATATTTTAGTCATTAAAAATTATATTTAATCGTTATAAAACAAAAATAAAAGACCTGGTTGTGGTTAGAAGCACAGTGACAGGACCAGGGAGGATGGGAGCACTTGCTCTAGGGAAGAGAGGAGCTGGGCAAGGGCTGTGAGCAAGAGGAATCCTATGTACCTGCAGCTGCCTTCCCTACCCATGACAAATAAGCCCAGACAGGGTTTTTATAAGCAGTGTTGGTGCTGATAGGTCACCAGTAGGAACTGTGACAAGTAGGAATTTGTCACACATGCACAGGTGTCTGTCACCTTGCTGACAAGGGCACCAATTCTGTCCCAGACACTGGTTTGAGAGTCCATGGTGGCTACAGACACCTAACCCAAAAGTCAAATTTTCATGGGTCACTCTCAAATGGGAGGTCCAATCAAACAGAGGTAACTTTTATCCCTGCAGGATTAACAACAGCTTCTTGAAACCATTATCCTGACTCCAGTCCATCTCTAATTAAATCTAAATTAAATTTCGCCAAGCAGAATTACCAGGGCCTGGTTTTTAGAGTCTCTGGTAAATCCAGCTTCCTGATGGTGACTGTCTATTTACTGGAGACAAAGATCCACTGAAGAACAAATGATTTTGGCCTTTCTGGGTGTATCAACTCACATCTCAAGAATTAAGCCGGTAAATTTCTCCGTATAAGTAGTATAATGTACATTTGCATTTAGGCACACATTTTAATTATACAGTCCATAAAATATATCTGGAACTGAATCAGAGTTCTCAACGTGAGAAAATAGCCATATATTCAAAATCTAAACTTTTCTATGTTTCTTTGGTGGACAGCTTCTTTAAAGTACTTTCTTTCAATAGATCTTCCCCTATCCAAGCTCTATAAATGTGCTAATGGTTACTTTATTAGTGGTTGCCTTGGTCTCACTGAAGTTTTTTCTTTCTTTCTGTGAGCATAATTTATCCTATGCATGCCTTCCATCTGGAAAGAAATTGCACTGAACTAGATGGACCTTTATAAAAGAGCACAACTTAATGTTAAGTTTTAATTAATCAGTCTTATTCATTCATTATTTTTTATCCTAAGAGGCTCTAAATCATAGTCTGTTTCTGCCTGAATGTACATAGATTACTGCCTTATTTTATCTTTATATTTATATATTCACTTTGAACGAACTTAGATGAAGCTTAAAAAGTTTCTGAGGATCACCTATAAATTATTTTCCATATGCCCCTTTCCTTCCATCTGTAAACACTGAATGAATAAAATAATTTTGTGAATCGAGCCCTCTAATTTTCAGTAGCAAAACCAATTACCATTTCATTAATCATTGACGACCAATTAGTACTGTGAAAACAAAATGGCTGCATTCTTATGAAAATGCCACTTTCTCTGTAAAATTTAGAAGATGACTGATAATTTTATGTGCCTCACCTTCTGAATGCCCAGCTTAGACCTGGAAGGCCCAGAGCACCAGATGGAAAACAAGATTGTCGAGGTGTAGTGGACGGTTCTGTCTAATTTGTGCCTTGTGTTGTATTGAGGTGTGTGGTGATGCTTCCAGTTCCTGCCACAATAAAAGGTCACTTCCCTGCTTTGCTTATTATTATCAGCCTTCCTTCTGGTCTGTTTAAAGCATCTGCCTGTGCTTTGTCCAGGCTGTCGAGTAGTCTGAAGTCCTTAAGCAATCCTACCTATTAATGCTTAACAGTTATTCTGGATCTATTACCTAAAATGGCTAAGGAATTTATATTCCAGATGTTTACACAAAGCTGTTTCCCATGAATGATGCTACCGACAAAAAAAGGACTGAATTAATTCCACACATCTTTCATAAACAGCAAGAAATTGATTCTTAAATAAAGATGCTTACATCTGCCTCTTGCTCCAGATGGTGCAATTTAGCTGCCTATGTTACTCATGAGTTGGTTTTGGTTTTGAACAAACACTTAACCCAGCGGTTGTCACGTGAAGAATTCTCCATTTCTCACAACTGAAACCTAAACTGCACTGCTGCTTTAATTCTCAGAGCTTCATGTCTCACAGGTCAAAAGCACAAGGAAAAAAAAAAATATCTTTTTAATATTTCAGCACATCAGCCACACTTGTAAAACTGCCTGATACTGTACCCTCCTGTTTCCAGCAAAAATTCAGGCAGCAGACTTAATCTAAAATTCCCGTGAGGTCTGACAGCAGGACAGACTTTGAAACACCTTTTTTTTTTTTTTTCCCCTTTTTCTGCCACATCACCTGGTCATTGAGTTTACATTTATGGTCCAGCCCCTGGGAGCATCAGTTCCAGCTTACAGCAAATCCTTCAAAATATCCAACAATGCTGTGTCCTTGCCCTAAAACCTGCCCAGGAGGAGGCAGTGAGCAGGCTGGAGCTCTCTGCCAAGACACACAGGTGCTGGATTCTGGTTTTCTAGTTGAGAACCACAGTGCAATGGTGCAGCTTCTCCTGGGAAAACTAGAAAAAACCCCAGTATGTGTGGGATGTCCTGTAGGAATGTAAAAACCACAGAATATGTAGTTTGACAAGGTCCTAGCAAAGTTATGGCCCAGATCCACCCTATGACTGGATTTTATAGAGATTTTTGGATGAAGTTCACCTCTCTGCTGGCACAATAAGCAAGACTGTCTGAGATATCCCTCTGCTATCCTATGCTGTAACTGCAATTTTTGCCTTCAAGCTTTATCACCAAAAATCAGATTTTGAAACAATACTAAATTTTAAAAAGTTACAGAAATATTTTACTTTCATTTTGTAAAATCATAGTCTTATGGAATCAAAGCCTTAGACTGATTCTAAAACTTGCAGTGGTCTTGGGACTTTCTTAATAAAATCAATGTATATTTTGAATGAACCCCTTCAGATCAGAAACAGATTACTAGCTAAATTAAAAATAGAGTAAATGAATGCTTTTCCAATTATTATGTTAAGAAAATGATTGGAAATCTCTGGTTTAAGAAGCTTGGGGAAAAATAAACGCTACTGATTTCCACTACTTAAATGAAATACTTAGATCTACTTAACTGAATTTTAATTGTGGAATAATTTTGAAGGCAGAAATAGTTTGAAAAGTAAAATTTAAATAAAGAAAATTTTTTATTTATGATTTCTTTGTATCCTTCTTTACTATTGAGGGTTTGGATTTATTTTAAATTTTTTTTAATTGTTTTTGTCTGGTTTGTGTTTTTTGTTTGGTTTTTTTTGTGTTGTTTTTTTTTTTGTTTTGTTTTGGTTTTTTTTTAAATTAAGATAAGAAAAACACTTGAAATAGCTTAAATCTGATTTGATGTACTATTTCTTTACCTAGGATGATAGGTACCTTCATTATGAAACTTTCTTGAAGATAAAGATCTCTTTATTCTCATGTGTCCTGGAAAAATAGCATGATGAAGAGGGTATCCACAGCTATCTAATCTTCTGAGTGTGTGCTGAGCACCCAGAGGTTTTTATTTTAGTGGACATTATCTGGATTTTGATCTGATAGTAACTGAAGTTACTGACATAACTGTTTCAAACAGGAGTAGGCCCACGAGCAGAGCTGATACCTGAAGAATATCCACGTAAAAGTCATGTCATTAGAGGCAACCAGAGAGCAGGAGATTTGGGGTCACATCTGAGACCTAGATGATCAAAACTTAGGTGTATTTTAAGCAATTTTCCTACAGATAAAACATCTAACCAGAACTACTGAAATGCTTTAGTGAAAATCCAGTAATTCTTTGGGCTGGTAGCCAGCCAAAACCAAGTCCTAAGCAGCTCCCTGTTTGAACAGGTGGTGCAAGACAAGGGATACTTAAAGAAACTCTTCCTGGTCACCTCTTGGCTCTAAGTATCTTTTTTTCCACCTTCCACCTGGCTGTAGGACTGTACTTTTGGGAATGGAGAACTAGCACTGCTGTGGGTGTGAAATGGCAGGTAAGAGCACCCCACGTCAGCTCAGAGGCTCCAGTCAGCTGCACAAGAGCTCTTCTTGGAGAAGGGGCCTGGGTCTCCCTGGGAAGTAATCCACAGCTCCCACTGGGGAGGTTTGCAAAATTCTTTGCTGGGGGCAGCATTTTAACTCACTGACACTGACAGACACCTGTGCCCATGTGCCTCGGATAATAAACTCAGAATGCCTAAACCCGAGTCTAAAAGTCTTTTCAAAAACAGCTTAAGCTAAAATCGTGCTTTCCCTGGGCTCTTTATGCAGCTAATAAAGAAATGCAGGCTGAATTGCCTTCTGGAGAAATATAAGGCATGAGCTGCTTCCTAACAGTTCTCTTGCTGCATGTGCTACAATTCAGAAAATTTGACTCCCAAATTCTGTTCTCAACTAGGCATCTGAACACAGGATGAGGGAATTTGTAGCCACATCTCATGTTGAATTCAAGTTTTAGCAAATAACTGAATAATATTCCACTGTTAACCTTCAGGCTGTTAAGAGTCCTCTACTGCTTGGCATCTGTTATTAGGGGTACTTTCATTAGTGTGATGTTCCACAACAACCAGTGCAGAATTAAAGGTGGGAAATTGCCACCCTTTTGTGAGATTGAGGAGTCACATCACCAGAACAAAACTACATTTAGCAAAACACTACCCTACTCGGTTCAGTATGTGCATGCAACACCAAGATATCATTTGCTTGATATACAGTTTTTATAAATCTGTTAAGCTATTGCTAAGCTGTCAGCTCAGACTGTTTCCTCTAGAGCTCAAAGATCCATGACTGAAAATTATGGGGGTTTTGACTCTATATTTTCCAACAGTGGGTCCCAACCATTTTTCCTTCTGATGCACTTTAGTCCCTTTTATAGTCAGTGAATGATTATCTGAAGGTACTGTGCAGTACCAAAATCTTCCCAGATACAAATAGCCAATTATAAAATGCAACTCAAGGTTGAATAAATTCTTTACTGACCCCGTAGGTGAAAAAGTGATGGCCAGAGGTGGGGGTTTCATTATCCAAATCATTATCACAGCTCATATGACTCCCATGCTAATGCCCAGCAATTAGTCTGCTCAGATTTTCTATGAGAAATTTTCTGTATGAACCTAACAAACTATATCCTGATCACTTTGTTCCAGCTTTCCCAGACAGAGACATAAACCCTCTGAGTGACCATATATCTATCGATTATGAGCTTGGACAGACTTAACACCCACACAATAATAAGAATGTCCAAATAAGCATTAGGATCCAAGGCAGATCAAGCATGCAGCAATTGTACCTATCAGCCTCATTAGCTACCCCTGACCATCCTTCATGCTTCACAGAAGTGCCTTCTGCATTTTAAAATATTGTTAATGGGGAAAAAACGTGTTTGGGATCTCAAATTATTGCTTCTGTGTAATGTTTTTCTAATGTGTTTCCATGAGCATTGGAACAAGCTGTTCATATACAATTTGGGCTGCCCTTCTAAACCATCAGACCCACTCCTAAACAGCACAATGCTGTACCAGGTATGTCTTATACAAAATAAAAAGTGCAACAGAGAAATGCCTAGAGATAACAACTTTTAGAAGTTTTATAAGTTGCACTGTTTGTCTTCCTCCACCAGAGGATGCCTTCCATTTATTCTTGCCTCCCCCCCCCCCCATGGAATTCCCACCATTACCATCCCTTCCAAGAGTCCATATGTGAAAAAGATGAGTACTTCCCTGTAGTCCTTGTGCTTTGATAACTGAGGAGTCTTCAGGGGCAGAGTTTGTCTCTGTTGTCCATGAGCCTGTTTGAGAGTGCAAATGGAAAATGACCCTTATAACGGATCAAGAGACAGCAATCACTTTAAAATTCCAATGTTTTGACACTTAGCTTTTCATCACACTAAAACAAGAAGCAAACTTATCAAGAAAATGATACAAAATAGTGTGTGTGTGTATTGAAATACTTTCTTTCTTGTTTTAGGAAGTATTCATTAAGACAACAGATCCTGCCACGTACTGGTCAGCATACTGTGTCCCAGGATGTACAAAAGTAGCATGCAGAGAGATGGTTTTACTTTGTTGTTGTTATTTTATACACACACACACACACACACACACACAAATATATAAAATACATACATTTATTTATGAGTGCACATGTGTGTGTATCTCTTTCTCTCTCTTTCTATATATATATCTCCCCAGGAACATTTTTACCAGATCAAGAACTTCTAAACCTCAGGCCTCTGCAGTAGTTGCCAGGCTACAGATCACCAGAGTCCTTAACTTTCACTGTACCCATTTCAGCTCCTACAAAACAATATACTGCAACAACATGAAGGGGAACATTTTTCAACAAAATTTCAGCTACCTTTAACAGAATAGCTTCTGTATCTTTCTAGATATTGCCATAGAATACGAGAACCTAAATACAATAGAAAGTGTTTCTGACATTACAAGACCATAAACAGGACAGTGCAGCATGAGGAATGATGCCCTAAACCAGAAATCAGACTATTATTTTAGGTATTATACATGGAAGTATCCCTTCTGGTCTACCTCCATTTGTAAAAATGAACTATTCCAATGCCTGCTTTCAACCTGTGATCCTGCCTTTGTGCCTATTGAAGAGCTATAATTTGGCAGGTCCTTTAAACTGGGATCCTAACTGGCCGTGCTTTATGGCTGCTCCCTTCAAGAGGCAGCTCCAAAAGGAAGAGGAGAGAGGAGCCTGTCAGTGAAATACACTTATGGCTAGATCTGGGATACTCTGTGATATAAGTTTACTGAAAAATGAAAACAATCTCACAGAATATCATTGAGCACAGCAAATGAGCCATGAGAGATTTGGTAGGTAGAATGAAAGGTAATACAGTGCTATAATAACTCCAACAGCTTAAGGACAGCCTGTGAACTGAAAGTACATAACAGCTTTAGTAAACACAAAGTTTGGATGTCAGGAGAGGTCTAAACTGCAGTCCTTTGAAACAAAGGCATGCTTCATCTTTTATTAAAAGTTTGATCTCCAGCAGCAGACTTCAACTTTCAGAACTGTTGCTGATGGTGAAAATAAAAAAAAAAATGAATTACTTTACACATTCACAGAAGCCAACACCCCTCCCCCAGTTTTCCTCTTTCATTGTTGCTCAATATATTTGACTATCAAAAACATCAGGATGCCTTCTGCTTGAGAAAGACTCACTATTGACTAACTGTCTTTACTTAATGCCTACCACACGTACACAGCAAGAGAAAAAGATTCACTTAAAGAGAAACAGTATCATGCCCCACTCCACTGTGCTGTGTCTCCAGTGACTAAACTGAATACTGGCACATGCTCTGAGGTCCACTTTTTTTGTAAAATGCTGAGGGCAAGCACCATTTTTTTCCACAGACAGATACTGTATATTGTCTTTTTCCTCTCCCTTTCCCACTAACAAGCAGAAGACACCCTGGGAAAACATTCTAATTCTGAATACCAGAAGTCAATGAAGTAATTTCAAATTTATTTCAGAACTAGAAAAGGATAAAGGAGGGCTACACACCATCTGAAAACGAGGACAGGTACTGTCAACATCACCCCCCCCTAAAATAAGTCAGGTTTGAAAAAGTACTTGCAAACAAATAACTGCATATTACTTGCTGGACTAGTGGTTTCTAGAGGTGTTCCCAGTCTGCTCCCCTTAATCCAAGCGCAGAAAAAAGTAAAAATAAAACATTTTCTAAAGCTCAGTTATAAATTAGGAGCTTTCAGACAGCTTAGAAGGGCCTGTTTGCAGAAACTCATCTCTCATAAAAGGCTTGTTGCAGCTCTAGGGAGGAGTAAAATAGCTGCTGATGACATTCAAATCATGATCTGTCTTCTCAGTCATTAATTTTAAATATGATTCATACTCCATTATGCTCTGGAAACCAAAGAAATTATCCTTTATTGTGTCTAGCCATTTTTCATCACTATGTACTCATAATGACCAATTTTACTCTTCCCTTCTGGTATGTGCTCGAAAATGTGCAAAAATTAACCCCGATATTTACATTTGCCTCTAATTCAGCTTCATAAGGTTTTCACAGTGTAAATACATATTTATACAATAGAACAGGATTATTAGCATCCAACATCTATAAACAACATTAGCCTTTAAATTGCTTAAATATTAGGGTTCATAAATTAGAAACAAGTCTGGGTCAAACCTAGGGGAACAAGCACTACTGAGCTTTTTCCTAGTTAAACACAAATACATATAAAAATATACATTTGAATGGCTGTCTAAATCCGTGTGCATTTTAATAATCCCAGAAGTGAAGTCATATAATGGATGGGTTTGTCATCCTCCTTTGCAATATCAGTGAATTTTTAGTCTTGGTTTGATTTGGGTGGGTTGTTTTTTTTTGGAAAGATAGATCACAGACAGTGATTCTGAATTTTAAGTTTTCGAAAATCCAAATGCAATTCTTTGTTTCAGCTGCGTGACTTTGGACAAAGCACTTACTCTGTGGCTCAAAATGCCACCCGTAAAAAGGAGGTTTTCATTATGCATTTCCAAACAAAATAGATGTGCTGCATAAAGCTGAGGCACCACTTTCTTCACGTTTAAGAGACAGGGTACGTGCTGTGCATCCTCCTACCAGCACCCAAGTCGAGGCAAAGTTCTTCCTCCAGAGCCTGTATGAGGTGACATTACTCTGCTGTATCTCTCATTAATCTTTATTCACAGGGTGCATGGTAGTGGAATACTGTTTTTAATGTGCCTCCCTCTTTTCCCTGTCCCAAATTCACTGAGGAACCACAACTGGGAAGCACAACTCTCTCTCACTACAGTATTACTCAAATAAATAATGAGATAAGATCACTGAGTTAAGTCTCACAGCACAGAGTCTAGTTTGATAACTATCTGATGGATTAGGATGGAGAACTAAATAATACTTATATTCACTATTCATTAAATAGTAGTTGAATAAAAGCAGTAGGCAAGGCATGACATGCAGCGTCCTCAAAGACAATGTAATTTTCATTCCCACCTGTCCAGCATAAGAGTTCATGGGTATCAGAGCTTGAGCCAATTGTTTATTATGTTTATTAAAAAAAAAAGGAAAAAAAAAAAGGCAAGCCTCATCACTCTTAAGATAATGGTGATGAGTGGTGGTCATAACAAAGCTTATAAACTCCTGGGGTTTTTTCTAGAGTAAGGAGAATAAGGAGTTATCCCGACCAGTGAAGAAGGATAGTAAATGATATTATGCAGCTCATACAGCTTGTCACACGTGAAGCAAATTCCCCACCTCCCATGAGTACGAGCTTCAAAGAGCACATTTTCACTTAATCACTAAGATTCAATGTTAAATTAGGTTATTGATGGATTGCAAGTAAATGTGAGATTTGAAGTGGAAAAGCCAGCAGCATCTGCAAAACCTTGAAAGTACTCCAAGAAAAGAGGGATGAAATGTGGGGTGTCTGTGTCAAGGTGTTGGCAGCATGGGGGGGCTGCTCCTCTGTGAGAAAAGTTTAGGGGCTACCCTGTCCTGGACACAGCCAGACCCACACTGGATCTGTCATGGGACACAGCTGAGCCCATCAGCCAGACTGGTGGCACTGCTGGGAAAGCACAGTAAAGAAAGAGGAGAAAATGCTAGATAGGGAGAAAAGGGAACAAAAATGGTGTGAGAAACAGCCCCGTGAGCCCCAAGGTGAGAGAAGGAGGAGGTGCTCCAGGAGCAGCCTGCGGAGCAGATCGACACACTGCAACCATGGAGGACCCTGTGGTGGAGCAGGTGGGTGTGAACCAAAGGAACTGTGGCCTGAAGGAACTGAAGCAGGTTTATCCTGACAGATTGCAGGCTGTGGGAAGGACCCATGCTGGAGCTGGGGAAAACAGAAGGAGCAGCAGAGAGGAGCTCTTTTGAATCCACCGCAACACCCATTCCCCATCCCTCTTCCATGGCTCAGTAGGAGAAAGCAGAGCAGCAGAGAATGAAGTGCCTGGGAATAAGGGATGGGGCAGGTGTTTTTGTTGTTGTCTTTATTTCTCACCATCCAAATCCAATTTAATTGGCCAAAAAAAAAAAAAAAAATTCCCCAAGCTGAGTCTGTTTTGCCTGTGGCCAATTGATGGATGGTCTGTTCTTACCCTGACCCACGAGCTTTGCCACTCTTCCTCCTCCCCCTGTCCTGCTGAGAGGGGGAAGTGAGAGAGTGGCTGGGTGGGTGTTTGTCCCTTAGCCAAGGTCAGTCCATCACAGCAGACAACTAAGTTTTAAAATTGATCCTGTGTAAAGTCCCGAAAGATCTACACAAATTCTGAATGTGAAGGATACACGGAACACTAACACCTATAGGATCAGGTGAGGGAGCTCATGAAAAAAAGGCAGGAATTCTTAGAATCATTACAAAGGTTATTTAATTAGCCTGCTCTCTATTCAGCTTTTTCAAAATGTATTTGACAAGATCCCTCATTGGCAATAAAGTGATTCTAAGTCATTAATTGGTTCAAAGTTTCGTTGCCAAGAGAAAGAGATAATAAGACTAAGAAGATGTACTCAAGAGAGAAAGATGTTGCTGGCACTGTGGAAAAAGCAGTTCTGACAGCATGACATTTGGCATAATTTATAAATTTTCACTCTTAAGCTCAAAATTACTCAATAAAGCAAGTTGTTTCATAATTCAGTTTAAATTTCATCAGTACTTCAAAATTGATGAATTTTGTCATTTAACCATTATACCATTTATTTTGAAAAACAGAAAACAAACTCCTGAAATAGTCATTTTGAAGCAAAACTAAATTATAATTTCATTCCAAGAATGTTTCCATGCTATTGACATTGTTCTCCCTAATTTTCCTCCCATGTATGTGTTTGTTCCATCACAAATCTACTTAAATTCAATAAGCATGCCACACCCTTTCATCCAAGTTTAGTTGAGTCTAGGCAATTGCAGTTCTTCTAACAATAAATTTAAGAACAGAAGGCTACTGTATGAGGCTGCAAGTTTGTTAGAAATTAGGAGCAAGGACCAAGGAATTATTTTAAGATAGTCTGCAAATACAAAAGTCAGCATACTAATAACTAGAAGTGCATTAACAACTGCATGAAGCAACCAGAAATAAGGAGAAGGACAGAAGAAACAAGCAGCTTGAATCACTCCAGCAAAGTTAAGGAGTAGACAATTCAATGGAAAAGCCTGAATTTTGTTCCTATTATGTTCAGCTTCCTCTGCATTATTATAGATTACACTCGTTTATATCAGAAGATGACTGATCCATAGTGCATTATCCTAATGGAAATACAAAGGCATCAAATACTGGCTACTTAATAAAGGAAAAGAAAGGTAAAACCATGTAGTTTTCTATGGCAGTCGTTCTAATGAGTTTACGTGATGCTGGCCAGTACAATAATTAATTCCCATTCAATCTTTCATTTACCCTTGCCACATTTCTCACAATTTTGTTTTTAAAAAGGTGCTTCCAGCATTTGAAGGAAAACATATTTTAAGGAAAATATTGTGTTGAATATATCTTAAATAAATAATCCAAATCTTCACTTAAAATTGTTCCCATTTTGACCTCTGACTTGTCAGACAATGACTAATAAGCAGACAAGCCATCTGTGCTGCCCAAGTAATTGGCTGGCACCTAAAAGTCCCCCATCCTTTCCCATCCTACTGTGACATCTAACTTGCTTAAAGTCAAAAAGCTTGGCCTCCTGAACACTTTGTGCATTAAATCAATAAAAAAAACACTACCAGAACAATAAGCAGCAACCTGTAGAAACAAATAAAGACAAGTTAATTGCTGAGTAGAATTTCTGAGATGGAAAAACAGTATGAAAATTTTGTATACACAGTCTCATAATCATTTCAAGAGGTAGAGACAAACTGAAAAGCAAACAATCAATGTACTGTATAGTCACTTTCCCCTCATCCTTTTTTTTTGTCTTGTCTCAAAATGACTGATAAAATTAAAACGAACACAATTAAAGCAACACAACGTGAACCCATGAAACTTAATATCCTAAAAACAATTCAGCATGTCCGAACAAGAAAACAGTAAAGGCTAAAAGTTAATCTAATTATAACCCTTATGACCATTAAGTTATAGATATTTGCTGTGGTTCTTTACAAAGCTTTAAACGTGTAATTTAAGAAAGTATTTTTTTTTCCTGGAAAATGGCTGAGAAGACTGGTGATAAGAAATTAAAATGAACTATATAGAAGTGAAGGTATGGTATCATTTGATGCAATTCAGCTATTGAAATTGCCTTAGTATTGGTAGCAGTTAAAAACCACTTTTCTTAAATGATCAACACGTATTTCCAGAACTATTTTGGGTAATATGCACAGTTAAGAATAATGCTGAAATTCTTCTGTGAAGCAAGTCAGGAAAAAAATATCGGGATAGTCATTTCCTAAGTGTCAGCAGGGTCTTGGCTGATTAGAAGGCTGCACACTGCAAAAATTGTCGTGTACAGAAACTGTAAATGGGGCTCCAGTTCCCAGAAACTGTAACCAGAGAACCAAATTCTGCACTGGTTTGCATTCAGTAGATTATACGGCAGAAACATAAGACAGAATATCTATATATGCAATACACTAAACCTGTTACAAGTTTCTTGTACTTTATTCTTCCCTTTTATACTGTTCTTTGACAATGACCACTTTTGAAACAATATTTAATTTGTGAAGCACACAGCTCTGTAAAAACAATGTCACTGGTTTGATTTTGGATCAAACTAGTGAGATAATCCTACCTCAACCTTGAGCTGGCCCTGTTCCTGTTCATTGTATACTCAGCTTTGGCTTAACTCTACCTACTTTCATATTAATGGAAGTTTATCCATGTCAACAAACAAAAACAGATCTTTTTGCTTCACATGACTTACTAACAAAAAACCCTAAAAGAACCCCCAACCAAACTAAACCAACCAACCAAACAAAAGCACCAGAAAAACCCAAATAAAAAAGGCTGCTAAATTCTCTGTACTTACAGTATTTCTCATGCTGTTACTACCATGTACTGGAAACTTTTGAAATGGCTAAAAAAGACTTTTTTTTTTCAGGAAAAATATTATATATAATCTTGAAAAAAACCCCTATGGGTAGCATAGAGGAAAAGCCCTCTATTTTTTTTTTTAAATATATTATTGTGGTTGATTGGCTCTATTTGTAGTTTATTTTGATTCCTGTAAAAAGGGCTTAAACTGACTTCAAAACATTTCTGCACTTCATCTGCACTGAGGTCATACAGAATCCTCTGTAGTGCTTAAATTGAAGCATTTTCATGTGGGTTTTCACCATTATGTACTTTACTGAGTGGGGAGTTTGTTGTACAAGAAATTGAGGAGTTTTTTCCTAGGCCGTTGTTCAGGTTCTCTCCCTTTGACAGGGACTGTAGAAGGGCCTCAGCATAATGGATATTAAGACAGAGCTATTTTCTGATGAGTCTCCTACACACACTAAGGAAGAGCAGTCATTTTCTATATATATTTGGTTTGTATATCCTGGAATTTTCTTACCAGACTTCTCCATCATAAAAGAGATAAAGGAGGTGATTGTCCCGCTCTGCTCTGCACTGGTGCATCCTCACCTTGAGTACTGTGGGCAGTTTTGGTACCACAACACAGAAAAGGCATGAAGCCTTTGGAAAGTGTCCAAAGGAGAGCCATGAAGGTGGTGAAGAGTCTGGAGGGAAAACTGTTGGAAGGGTGGCTGAGGGCACTTGATCTGTTCAGCCTGGAGAAGAGGAGGCTGAGGGGAAACCTCACTGCAGTCTTCAACATCCTCATCAGGGGAAGCAGAGGAGCAGGTAGCAACCTCTTCACTCTTGTGACCAGTGACAGGAATCCAGGCTGGAGCTGAGCCAGGGGAGGTTTAGGTCGTTTATCAGGAAAATATTTTCACCCAGGGGGTGGTTGGGCACTGGAACAGGCTCCCCAGGGAAGCGGTCACAGCACCAAGGCCGACAGAGTTCAAGAGGCCTTTGGACAACATTCTCAGGCACATGGTTTGAGTGTAGAGGATGGTCCTGTGCAGGGCCAGGAGATGAACTCGATGATCCTGGTAGGTCCCTTTCAACTCAGCGTATTCTGTGATTCTATGAAAATTTTGCCACTCATAAATACATATTTCAACTCGCACGAGGGAGCCACCAAAAGTTTTGCCACGTGACAGTGTCTTCAGAACTAAATAAGTGTCTGGGTTTAGTGTTAAGAGACATCTGTATTACTGTAAGCACGGTGTGGTGAAGGCCACAGTTCTGAGGGGGCCCCTGGTGCCTTGTGCCTGCCACCTTTGGTGTGCTCCCTGCCACAGGTCCTGTGGATCAGCTCCCAGTCACACCTCCCACCTCCACACCTCTATTACCTTCTGATGGAGACAACTGGCACACTCTCATCTTCCCAAATGCTGATGCAAGTCCTCCTTGCCCTTGCTTCTTATGCATGCAGACAGCTGTACATCGGAATGAGAATACCATAAAGATACATACATTACATACACAGGTATATAAATGTAATCTCTGTAAAAGCAGTGGTGCAATTGCCTTTTATTTGGCTTTAAACGGGAATTCTGTAATGTAGTTGCAAATCTACCGCTCTTGGCAGTGCTAAAAATATGTCATTTGGATTAAGTAGTTTCAAGTAGAACATTTTATAACTTAAATAATATTATTTTTATTCAAGATCCCATTTGGTTTAATGCAATTTGTCTGAGATCATGCACTAATTTCTGTTCTTAGCATAGCCTTGGGGAGATAAAAATATTAAATACAGCTCTTTGTGGGTTTAAAAAAAAATTGTCTTGCCATACATAGAATGGATTATCACCACCCAGTGAGCTTATAGCATTCATGATTATATGTGCAAGAAAAATACCAAAAGTATCATGTAACAGGCTAGACTATATTCTGTATAAGTAGCTATTGAACTGTAGCCAGTATCCCAAAATATTGCCAGGTGCTCATTTTCTTAACAGCTGGAGTCTTTTGGTCAAGCAAGTTGCTTTCTTACATCTAGCAAAAGTTATTGCAGTAAGTTGTGAAATTGAAAGTTTAATTTGAGTCACTAAATTGAAAAGCTCTATTAATTCAAAGTGTAAAATACAGAGTAGTCCAAAGGTAAGAATGAGGAGTCAACTGCACACAAAAGGACTGTCAAGTTAGGAACTTGCATGGATAGTTTGATGTTTACAAATTGGATCTTAATATAATATGCAATTTTGCCTTCATTTTCCATCTTTGTTGCCTTCATGTGAAAGTAGTGACTGGATTCCTAGTGTTATAAATGCAAGCCAAATACCTTCTGGAGAACTTATTTTTGACAAATTTATATAAAACCTGTTGAAAAATTATCTCAAATCTCCACCTTCTGTTTAGCCCTCTGTTTAACATTTCTACCTCTAGTGAAACTTAACAGCAGAAAGAGTATTGGTAATTCTTCCTGCCAATCCATCAGAGTCTTGGGTTTCCTCTATAGAATGAAAATACCAGGCTTATTGCACAGTTTCCAAACATATTAGACTGACTCCATGTCTTTTATGAGTTTCCTGTTTGCTTCTGACTGGTAAAATCCAAAACAAACTGACTTTTAATTGTAGCCTTGAAACTTAGAAATGGAAGGTAGAAAAATAAGTGAAAAAAATCATCTACTGAAGAAAGCTGAGGGCAGTTCTAAAGTTCAAGAAGCTTTTCAAAAAGGTAAAATGAATGTAATCTTTATGAGAAATAGCAATTTTATTCTGGGCAACTGCAGTTAAAACATGAGGGGTTTAGCTGGAAGAGTTAAGAGCCATATGCTAAAAAAATTGTAAGAAGAAAATAGTAATATAGGGAAAGGTTAACATCTTGACATTAAATTATGGGCTTCAATAAAAATTATGATATATTTTTACATGATCAGGCATAACTGACTACTATGGCAGGTAATGAAGTTAAAATGAAAAGACTTGTTTCATCTGTCAGTATCTGGTTGCAGCAGAGCTCTGCAAGAAACTTAATCGTGTGGGTCTTTGAACTGAGTTAAACTGCTGAGTGAAATAAACCATTTTTGCTTTTAAAGTCTCTGTTCTAGAGATAAAAGTATCATGTTCAGACTGGTTTGTTTGGTTCAGTAGGACAAAAAAATTTATTCCGAGTTTCAGAATAAACTTCATTTTTTATGACCTCTTCTACAGGTTTTTTAATTTTGTGTTTTCATTACTGAAATTATCAAATTCATATATGATTAAGTGCAATGCAGTCCTTAAACCACATAAGTCAATCTTCTATGAGTTGCAGTTTAGACCACTTTTACCTTGGAAAAATGGTTTTCTAGAAAAATATGGCATTAGTGTAACCATTAACAGTAATTTTATAGATTTTTTTTTTGTTAAGTCTTTAAAACAGCCTTTTTTTTTTTTTTCCCAGAATTGACTAAACAGATTAAGCCATGGGAGCTAAATTCCTAACTTGTTAAAGATCCTTGAAAATCTCTGTTGGTGTTCCTCAGAATCATTATACACTTAAATTCCTTTGGGAATCTGAATAATTCTTTCTACAAATATCTATACATGATTGATTTGATGTAGAGGAAAAGTCTCAGTGCAGTTTCTGTACAAAGTTGTTTTCACAAGCCTGTTTGGCAAAAGCTACGCCTTCCAAATCTCCTGTATTTTTAAAAATTGTCCCTCAGCTTTCTTGTTGCTGGGAAATTGTTACGAAGAAGCTTTGTACTAGTGAAGCTCATTTTTCCATTGTCAGGGAAATAACTATATACTGGTATTAGGCATATTGCTTCCACTTAGCAGATTTCCTGTTTATATTACTGAATCCGCAGTCAAGATCTTGTTTTTAATAAACACTTAGAAAACTAGAATGCAAAACTATTTTTCCCTGTGCATCATACATGTAAAATATACCCTATATATATACAAATATAAAAATATATACTTCTTCTTGTAACAGATCAGTGAACCAAGTTCTTGTCTCTAGTTTTGCAACATTACGATATCATGAAGACTTTCACTCAGGGAAAAAAGAAAGGAGTGATTTGACTTTACATGTATATTTGTGGCCTGTTAAACCATGTTTGCCAATCCGTTCTTATTGAATAATTATTAAGTACATTTTAATCATTGACAATGGTCTTATCACAACATATGCATTAGACATACACTTATGGTATCATATCACATCTTCAGTAGGAATTAATTCTGATATGCCAAAATGTTTTCCCATAGGACTAGTATCTGTGAGTTTTCAACATTTTGTTCAAATAATACTTGTATTGGCTTTTATGAAACTTAAAATAAATCCTTTTTTTTTGCAGTATTGTCCTGTATTTTTCAACTGGGCTTGACTTGCTTAAGGTCTGAAAGTATCTTTTCTGCTAGCTGCAAAAATTGATGCTAAGGCTTAAGGAGCAGAACTCTAGGAAAGGTGAAGAGGAAAGCAGAGCTAGAAGTCAGCTGAATCCTTTTTTTTCCAGATACTTACAGATAAGGAAGGAGATGGGTGAGACGCCTCCAAAAAAATGTATCCTAATGTCTATTTCGAATTATCAAATAATCCATTCTGTCGTTACCTGCAATGCTGTGGAAACACAAGAAAGGAAGGACTGGTGATGATGACAAGCACACCCTGTGAATAAGTTGCTCTCTGAGTGTTCTGCCAAGCTCCAAAAAGGGCCAGATTGCGGGAGCTGCAGGCTGTCTGCTTTGTAGGTGACAGGTACCCTGAAGAGGACAAAGTCAAACACTGCAGCACATGTAGGCCAGAGGTGTGACATTGCTGGAGATGTTGTATGCATTTTGTGACTCTGACAATCTCAGTGACAGCAGGCTGGAGAACAGAAGTTATAGGTTTGGGGAAAATTTCCAGCAACAGTCACTCATATTTAATAAGGCGATAATTCTACTTACTGTAGAGGTCTCTCTTCTCCATTTTACAAAGAACTAGTAATTCTATGTTTGTATAATTTTTCTTTCCAGCCATATGATACGTAAAAGGGAATTATTTCTTTATATATTTTTGTTTGCTAAAACAAACAAAAAAAAGTTTGAGTTTTACAGGTTTGAAAAATAACCCCCCTAAAAGAAAAATATTAAATGTCTCGATTAACTGCAGGATGATAAATAATTTTTATGTCAGAAGATATTTCTATCCAAAACATCTTCTGAGAAATAACTTTTTGAAAAGAAAAAAATACTAGGAAGTGCTAGGACAACATAATCAAAATGCTCCAAGTTCTTTATGATCATACTGATTATACAGAGGTGATGATCAGCATTCAAGAATTAGCAGAGGAAGCTAAAGAATAAAACAAGACTTTGTTATGCCCTGCTATTTTTGCATTATTTATTGTTGGAATCAAGAGAAAGATAATCATAAATGGGCATAACCCATTTGAATGACCTTCACTTTGCTGATGACATTAATCAGTAGCAGAAATGCCTGGTTTTGTTAAAAAAGGCAAAAGAAATACATGCCTGTTAATATTCCAGGAATACTGCTTTAAACACATCAAGTCTTTTTACTTACCAAGAAAATTATAGGTGCTATAATAGTGACATCAGACATAAGATGGTCTTTAAGAATGAATGTCCTTCAAGAGCTTGAAATATTTTTGGCTGCAGAAGCATGATCAACCCTGACACAATAAAAACAATTTCTAACACCCCCTCTCCTTTAGAGATATTTCTGAAACACCACAACAGTGAGGAAATTTCCTAGAATGCATTGCTCTTACCAGGAATCACAATAAATTGGAAAGAATGTACTCTGTCTTCTGGAAAGAAGTCTGAGGAGTGCAGACAAGCTGAACCCATCAGATGTGAAACATGAACACAGTTAGACAGCAGCTTCCACAACAGCTTCAGCCTAAAAAGAAAACAATAGGGAAGTTTACTGAAATCACAGAGAGAAGAGTAAGGAAAAAGCCTTCATCATCATCAGGAGGATCAGAAGTCCAAGCCCAGAATACTCAGTGACATGTGGTGAATAGTTTTGAGGGAGCACAAGGTAAAGACAGATATATTAAAAGCATTGCAAGCATTTTTGTTTTCAACAGGAGAAAAAGAGGTCTCTCCAGTGTGGATCACATTTTTACTTTCGAATGTTGATCTCTTCTCACAGTGTGAACAAGAACAGAGGTTAAAAAAATAACACCTCTAATATCACAAATAAAGGGTGACAGTTTGTTAATTACTGAACAGTACAAATGAATGCATGCAATAAGAATCACAGAATAAGATGGTTGTTTTGAAGTCTGAAATTGTCAACAGGATTTTGGAGGTTATTTTCTCAAATAATCAATAGCAAACCAAATGTTCCTGTGACAACTATCATGTTTCAGCCGCAGTACTTTGTATAATCTTTGGGTTAAGTGAACTTTCTTAGTACACATTCAGTTTAAAAGTCTCTTCACTACCTTATCACTCTCTAAAAAACTTTTTGATCTGTAGTGCAGAAAGCATTTGGTAATAAAGGTTAGATACAATTTTTTGCAGCAACTATCCTATCACGTGGTGTGATTTATTTCCTAATTAGTTTACAACCCTGTAGCTCGTCCATCTTACAAACAATTAGCTGAGAGACTTTCTTAGCCTGGCATTTGATATGAGTCCAATAATTTCTATCTTTTCTTGCTCCTGTTCTCTTCCTTTCTTCCCCCTCCTGTTTGCAGCTTAAGAACAAAACCTAAAAGGTAAAAACATCCCAAGTTCTGGAACGGTGTTAAAGAACACAGATTACCAAATAGTAACCCTGTTCTCCAAAGTGGGTTAGCACTATTATGTCTCAGGTTACAACATCTGTGATTGATGCATATTATACAAGTAGATTTTGTGCAGATATAAAATTTATAGTGCTAATAATGGAAAAAATCTGATTCAGTACTTTGTGTGGGTCTGAGAGACATAAAGAACAGCATTACATTCTAATGCTAAATTAATCTCTTCCACTGTTCTATCATCAATAGTTCACTGACATCTCAAAATCACATAGTCTACCTTTTAATGGTATTGTACTGCGTGTGTTGTACAACAGATGTTTGGCAGTATTTAAGGAGAGAAACATTTCTGCAAACACATACATATAAGACATCACAAAATAAACTTTCAGAAGCAATTGCTTTAGGCTGAAACCTGACACAGGGAAATAAACTTACCCACAGTAAAACAAATTTAGTAGGCATTTCACTCGAGATAAATTTGGTCTTATGTTTTAAGATGAGAGCAAGAGTTACTTTAAGTTAAAAATTAAATACAGCTCTTGACAGAATATACAAAAGTGAGAATACAGATGCTTTGTGATGACTTCTTTTGCCAAAACACACTCAAGAGGGAATAGGCACTCTCTGTGACGTGCCAACTGCTGCTGATGTAGGCAAAGACTAAGTACAAGGCAGTCATAAGCTTCCACACCCAAGGTCACAATTTAATTTCTGTTCAGAACTGACTGGCATCATCAGAAGTACACACTGTCCAATCAAGTGCCTTAAAAATATATTGTTCTGATCAAGAAGAAAAAAAATTTATGGAAGAGAACTAACAAAATCATGAAACGAGAACAGCTTTTAAAGCTACTGATAATTATTCAGATATATTTTGGGACAGAGATAAAAATAAAACTTGGGCACAATCGCTGATGTAATTTTGTAATTAGAGTTTCTTCATCTTCACTAAAAGACTTTTCCTGATACATCCTGAAGAATCATTTGTGGGTTTATTTCATAAAACCTCATTAGAAACATACTATCAGCCTGTGATCAAAGTTCATTATTATTAGGTGCAAATCATGTTTTGTGAGTCAGGGTTGGCTACAAAACAGAAATTCCAAGTTTAAACTAGTCCTCCTGCATGTTGGCTATTGCCAATAACTCTACCAAAAACATTGTGACTACAGATGATATTGAAATAAAGAAAAACAGCTTGTGGGTTCTCTAATTAATGGACTGATTTTGTGTTGATTCACTATTATTTATAGTGCAACTCATTGTGCACCTCTTGGTTGCAGAAAGTTCTTAAGAAAATAGTTCCCTCATCTTTAAGCAAAAATAGCAGAGTATATGGATTTTGTGCAGATATATATAAACACATACAGACAGGGATTATAGTGGTTAAAAATTTATCAGAAATCTTTAAGAAAATGCTTTCTTTTAGTTACTCCTCTCTTGAAAAGATAAATGAGCCACTACAGCCAATATCTTAACAGATGGCAACTTTCATTTTAGCTTGAGCTAAAATACACCTTTGGATACACTCTGCAAAATATTTTAAGTTACAAGTGGCCAGTAAAATCACAATTCCTACTACATGATACACTGTAACATCTCCCTTGGAGTTCTGCAATCTGCTATGTCAATAACCTCTAAATAAGGTGTTTAATCTGATTAGAAGCAGATTAAGAAAGCACTGACATGACAGAATTAGTCTAGCCTCTTATTATCCATGTATTATGGCATTTGTCTTTCCAAAGTAGTATTATAAGTAAATGTGAATGTATTAAGGAAACAGGTAACTCCTAAGCAAAGCAAAGTTGCACTGCACAGTGTTATCACCTCCATGTAGAGTTCTATGACAGTAAAATAATGCTACTAGCACAATCAAATCACTGGTAACCAAAAGAAAGGCACAGATAGATAAACTAGGAATTTAAGCAGAGCTTGGAGGAAGAGGCAGCACACAAACCTTAACAGTAGAGAAGTGACCTTAAGAGGCAATTATAACAAGAATGAGGCTTAACACAACTTTTTCTCTATTTCTGCCTTCTCTGCCCCCAGGAGAAATGATAGCAATGTGCAGGAAGGTCAGATCTTGTGTTGTTATTTTTTACCATTCTTCAAATCTACCACTGATTATCATTTACCTCCTTTTCAGGTGAAAACCCAATCAGAACATTCTCTTTCTCAGGCAGAAGTTAATCCCAGAAAACTGAACGCTTACAGTGAAAGAATCCCATGCTATAAATAAGGTTTGTTAAACTGAAGCTCAGATTATCCCCCAGCTGGCAAAAGGGTCATATTTATATAGTTCATAGTGCCTAATTAAGTGAAAGCCTGAAGGGAATTATTCATCTATAAGGGGAGAATTCTTATTCCTATTCTACTTACCAAAGTCAGAACATAAGGATTCCAACAGTATAACCTTTACTTACTTAAACTAGTGAAAAACACAAAGTTAGGCCATTTAACACAGTGAACATATCATTATAAGTTGTGCTGTGGAGAAAAATCTGGGTCTGTAACTCTAGTTCTGCTCTTGCTTGGCCCAAGTATGCTCTCTTTTTTTGGCTGCTTATAAATGTGCACTGGCAAGTGCTTATCTTTTGCAGACTGAAAATCAAAAAGACAATTTTTACCCTGAAATAAAAATAAATCATGTCTTCTGTTCCAGATTTGACAGCCTTCTCTATAAAGAGACATAGAAAATTGAGAGTTGTTTTAGCCACATCCCACGAATCATCTTGCATTCTCAAATGCCAAGCTGTATTTCACATGAGTCACTGACTATCTGGATTTCTTTGGTGATGTTTTTCTCCAGCCTGATTTGTATCCAAAGTCCATGCACTTTTTCTTCTACTGCGTGAGAAACCTTTCCTCTCTCATGCAAACTCTATGGGAAAAACTAGTTTAAAAATAAAAACCAAACAAGCAACTGAAAAAAATCCACACAAGCCCTGTGAAGTAGCAAATTTGAGAAAGAATTGCCTCATTTATAAATACTGACACATGGTATCTGCATGCTTAGTTGGATACCAGATACCCCAGTGACACCATTCATCCACGGAGCTGGAAGACATCCACTTCTCCTCAAATATGTGAGGAAAGCACAATCCAAGTTTGTACTATTTCTACATTTCCCTCTTCCCTGAGTCTCTTGGCTAGTCTGATCCTTCTTGGCACCTTGATGTTGGCAAGACACCTACAGTCTGTGTACTTCAGGAGCTGAAAAACTTGAGCTAACGTGAAGTCAGTCCCCCCATTCCTTAACCTAGTTACTCAGTGATACAGGAGTGGGAGGGCTCAGCACCAGACTGTCCCCCTTTTGGGACACTATCAACTGGTACAGTTTATCACAGTGGCTATGACAAGGCCAAAGCTGGTGTGTAGTCAGCCAGATAATTAGGCAGCTCCCTGGGAAGCCCACACTCCTCCTTTTGCTGTTCCTGACGGAACATGGGTGTAGCAGAAAATGCAGGCTCACGTTTTCCGTGCTGTTTGAATACAGTCACTGGCAACATTTAAATCTGTGCCTATTTCTAGCTCGTTGGTAAAGCTTAAAAAAACGATATAGCCACCTCAGGAGAACACTTTTACTGTGCTATCTCCTGAACCAAGCAGTTTCAGCTCATTGAGATTCAAGCAATTAAATGCTCGAGCAACCCGTGCAACTCTAGATGAGAATGCATGGATACACAATCAAGTACAAAGTGAGCAAGGAAGATACTGCTCCAACTTCTGCTCTTTCCCATCTGATAGTCAGTTTGGTCATTCTTTACTGCCCACTTGAGATAGCTACTATCAGAGAGGGAACACTGATGAATCACCTTTGTCTGGCAGTGCTGTTGGAACAGATCAGACAGATCGTCATTTTTTTGCTTCAGCAAACTTAATCCACGGTCCAGGGAAATACTGCTGAAGTTACAGTGGCATAAGACAAAGCTTTTGGGCTCTCCAATGAGTTGGAATCTGTGAATTATTTGCCACAGAAGGATACATCTTGGCGCCATCACTTGATCTAAACGTTGAAAAGCAAGGCTGAACGTATATTTTCACGAGTCCTTTAAAGGTTGAAATGTGTTTCTAAGACAGAGAGAAGAGAAAAAGAGAACACGATAGTTTTAAAAATGAGAATTTTTCAGTACACTTTTTATTTTCAGGTGTTTCAAAATATAACTTTTTCTTTTTTTTCCAGTCAAAATCATGAGACATACCACCAGAATCAATTGTTGCTAGAAAATTCTTACAAAGGGTGTTGTATTTTAAATATATCTTCCTCAAGCTCGGATACAAAAGGCCATATTTAGACACTTGTTTGCCTTGAAGTGTGATGAACAACCAGCCTCTCAACATGGTTTGTTGTAGGTGTCTTGCACTACAGAAAAGCAGACAGATGCCTAATTACAGCCTAGGGAGCTCCTCTTAGGTTACTTCTTTAGCAAGTCTTGGCCTTCATCCCTTCCTGCAGGTTAGAAATCTAGTCCTTTTCTATATTAGTTTAGAAAGATTCACTCTTTCTCTTCCCACTTTTCCTGCCAAGATTAATATATACATATGCCATTAAGTAAAGCAAATGTTCTTTTTAAAAAATTATATATATGCCGTAGTAAAATAATACATAGTACATATATAATATTAATATTAGGTATGATTAGGGTTGTATGCACACTACAGCAGACAAGCCTTCCTTTTCTCATAGAGATTGTTACAGCTAAAGGAAATTGCAAAATATGCTTTCCCACATCCCAGTGTTCCCAACCACCAGTCTGGAGACACATGTAGACGTGACAAATTTAACCTCTGTGACCATCTATTCTTGGTACTGATTAACAAATGCCTGTTGATCTAACATTCAGTAAATACCAAGAGCACAGGTTTTTGTACCACTCATTTTTTTCCCTGTTTCCCAGGTGAAGTATTGTTTCACTGGAAAGTAATGTTTCAGTTAACTTGGTAATTTGTGTCACTCTGTCCCCAGCTCTCCACTAAGTTTGGCATGAATGTAGGAGGAGTTCCAGTGTGTACTTGCAGTTATATCAGAAATGTTTAAGTGAGGTAGCTTTAAATTGATCCTTATGATACTTATGCTGAGTCACTCAGGCCTGGATATAACATACAGATTTTTAAAGACTAAAGATGAATGCAGATCCTCTAACATTTGCCAGTGTCCTGGTCCTTTTTGAACTCATTTGCGTGCAGACAACCCACAGAAATATGTGACAATGCTCACCCCAATTTATACTTAGCAAAAAACCACATAAAGAAGCATACACTGAGCAAATCTACTACTTAGCTTGGATCAACATTGTTTCTTGACACTGTTATCTAATTGTTCACCACAGAAACCATCTCTACAGTCTGCTTGGTATCACCATGTTTAACTTTCCAAGTCACCCTTTTCTCCAAGTTGAAAATATGTTTACATGTAAAGCACTCTAAGTCCCAAACAGATGACCTGGGGCTTCATTGATAATGAAGTTCCATTATAAAGCTTAATCTCCTAATGATTTATCAGCCAGCAAAGACACCTCCTATTGATAATTTCCTGTTTTTCAGTAAGCCCTCTGTTTCAGGGCTATTTTACATAAGTAGGTAAATGACACTGACTGTATCACCTGTGTCTGTCACGTGGAGGGAGAAATGGCTTCCTCTTACAAAAAAACTATTCACTTTCATTTACTGCATCATATTTATTCATGGGTCTGCTAATTAATTCTCTTCATTTTATAGCTCCTACCAATTTTATTCTCATGGAAATCTGATTTACTTGTTTATATTAACTAGGATTGCTTTGGAGCTCTTCTAAGAAGTTTTTATCCTACTTACCACTTTCTTTCCTCGGGTGCTGAGGACGACACAAAGAATATATTGCAAACCACAGTTAGCAGTTCACCAGTTTCATATTCATGGGTGAATGGCACCTGGCCCTGGCAATTCATTCCTATTCACTTTTTAAATTTGTTTTAAAACCTTTTTAGCGAGGTTTCATCTCAAGACAGTTTCTCTCCCCAGCCCCTGTAATGAGAGGCTCCTTGTGCCGTGGAGCTCCTGATCTGTGACACAAGCTGCCTTGAGCTGTGACAGCTGTATTATCTACACATGAAGCAGAGGTTTCTAACTTAGCAGAAGCTGGGAGCTGCTGTCTTCCTGAGGCCACCTGTTTGGCAGCATCCTGCCTTTGTGGTGGGTTGACTCTGGCCAGCAGCTAAGCCCCCAACCAGATATTCACTCATTTCCACACCTCCAGTGGGATGAGGGGAAAAGTCCAAGAATAAATGCTGAATACTCATAGGCTGAGATAAAGACAGTTTTGTGAGTAAAACACCACAGGCTGTTATGGAGAAAATCAACTCCATCCCAACCAGGCATGGCACAGTTTTGTGAATTCAACACAAAACACCAAACAGGTGTTCATTGTCACTGTTGGGCAGTGAGACTTGGGGGTCTGTCCATGAGTCCTTGTCCCCCAGAGCAGGCACAGAACCCCGGGGTGACTGAACTGAAACAAAGCCTGCTACTCATGGTGGCACGGAGCAGGGAGCCCCCAGCAAGAAAACTGAGACTACCTCCTTTCTTCCTCCCTTTTGTTTTCCTCACTAACTAGGAAAACCAGGAGGAAAAAAAAAGTTATGTAGTCCTCTTGTGCTTGGTCCTGAGGACAAAAGGAATAAGCAGCAGGAATTCTGAGCCCCTACCTTACACAGAGACAAGGCACATGTTTGTTCTGGTGACAGCAGCTCATTTCACTTCTGTGGGAACTCAGGCAGAGCAGGAGCCAGTGTTCTTTCCAGAAACATGTCACCACAGAGGGGATAAGCATGGGATCAGCAGCAAGACACAAATTTCCACCTCTCATTGCATCCAGTATCATATTCTGACCCCACATATCCATGGATTGACAAGGACTAACTTTTTATGCTGATTCTTTGGTCATTCATAACTCCCATCAAAAAGGTACCAACAAACAATAAAAGCAGAATCCAAGCACTATTGCAGCAAATAAATTAAGAAATATAACACATTTCTTGCACAGCTATTGTTAACCCTCTCCCCTTGTAGCAGGGAAAAATCCAGCTTTCAAAATTGTGATGCATGCATGTTGCCAATATAATGATCTTCTTACATGCAAAAAAGAGGCCAGGAAATGATTTAAAATGCCATAAACTTCTTCAGAACAGGTTTCCTGCTGATATGCCTTTCTCCCTGAAGTGCTCCCCATGCTCATTCTGAAATATTCATTGCCCTAATGATTTCTTCAGGCACTGCTCCTGTACATAAAGATTAGTTCCTCCTATCAGGAGAGAAGCAATTCCAGGGGAACTGTTATGGAAGAAATCCACAGGATCCAAAAATATATGCAAAAAATGTTTGCTTTTCTTCCTTTGCACCTTTTTTTAATCTTTATTTTCAGATGTCAAACCGTTACTGTTATCCGTGTGTTTACAAGTAGAAAAACCTATTTCTGACTTCTTTTTTTGTTTTCTAGAGCTGTCGCACGTCTCTATTTTACCCATGATCTTCCTTATTTCATGCACCTGTACTGTGCCCTTGCAACACTGCGGGGCAAGATGCTCTGGAATTCACAGGATCATCCATTCTCTGGGCACTTCTGCAGCTCTCAAAGCAATCAAAATCATGTTTAATCTGTTAAACTGAACCCTTTACCCCCCTCCCCAAGGTTTGCTTTCAAGCTCATTGTGTTTTTAGGAAGTCTTTCCTTAAGTCCTGACACCTTTAACACGTGGTAGCTGATTTGCAGTATAGCTTGATAGGAAAGAGAACCATTTCTCCAGAGTTATGCTGTATATCATTAGTAGTCTTTTGAGCATCTCTTAAAAAAACCACAAATCACTGAAATTCCATACAGGACCAGGGACCTCATTTAGCTATACTCAAGGAATAGAAATATGAAGGATAAGTAAAAGCTAAACAAACATAGATTTCATATCAAAAGATGACAGTATATCCAAAATAAACTGAAAAGTGTATGAAGAAAAATAACAGGCAGGTATAAACAACAACAAAAAAATACTAAACCCCTGGAAATTACTAACACCTACCTCCATCCCAGACTGAGCAGATTAATTCCATTAAAATTTTAATTAGTTAAAACCCTAATTCCCACTGAAAATACAGATATTAAATATTTGATCAATCATTGTTTTTGATAAAATTATATTGACCACAAATCAATGCATTAATTTGAAAATATATTTCACTTTTTTTTGCTATATTAACATAAAGTTAATTTTAAACCCTTAGTTTTAGAAAACAATAACAAAGTTTACAGCCCTAGGTAAAAATCAGAAACAAACCCTGTAACCAACATGAAACAAAGAAAAAGATATAACTTTTGTATATCAGGAAGAGGAAAAAAACATTCAGTGAGAAATTAGGCCCTTATTAACCACAGACAAAAAAATCAGAAGTAGTGGTAAATATATATACACCTCTCAATTTTCAATTGTATTTGGTACAAACCAAGAGGAGGTTTCCACATGTAATAAAATGTTATGCCAAGAACACCAAGTTTAATACAAGGATGGAAAAAAAAATCATTAACATAATGAGAGAATATGATATAGTAACAGTATCTGTACCCTTTTAAAAATACTATGTTTTAACCTGACTGGAGTGGATGTTTTTGAGGAAATTGAAGAATTTCCGAAGAGTTTTGAAGAGTTCATCCTGCAAACAAGGGACCTTGACTTGAATCAAAGATGTGAATTTCAGTTTAAAAACTGAAAAAGTTTTTAAAGATCAAAATTTGGAGATTAGAAAAGGTTTCTGACAAACAGATTGCTGGGGGTACTAAACTAACACTGTCTTGATTCAAACCTTACACAAAAAATAAAAGCCAGTTCCCTCAAGATTCTATGGCATCAAAACAAGACAATTTAATGCTAGTCATGAGAAGTGGTTCTTATTTAAAGATACAGTTCTGTTATCTCTTTCTGGGCATGATAACATGCCTAGTTTAGATGGCAATGCCATCAATGGAATATAACAACATTTCTTAAAAGCATTTAACCTCTTTCTAACTTCTTCTTGGCAAGATTTTTAACAAAAAATTAAAGGCACAA